TACTTTAAGACTTTTACTCAAGTAATATTCCTAAAGGAGACTTTAACTTTTACCAAAGTATTTTTGGTAAAATACTTGTACTTTTACTCTAGTAATATTCCTAAAGGAGACTTTAACTTTTACCAAAGTCATTATTAGTAAGATACTTGTACTTTTACTGAAGTATCACTGTGTGGTACTTGATACAAGACCGGGCAGCTCCGGCCCAGGCCTCGGGCTCACCTGGCTGGTCCGGGTTCGGGGGGCTCAGGTAGTCGTCGGGCAGCGGTTCTGGAGGCTCGCCCTTCATGCCCCAGGACAGGTGCCGGAGCTTCTTCAGGCCCAGCAGCATGCTGTGGAAGACGGAGCGGGGCACCGGCCTCACCGTGTCCAGCCCGTAGCCCTCGCCCTGCTCGTGGAACAGCAGGTACCGGAGGTTGGACAGCTCGGACACGGTGCTGATGAAGTCCACGGTGCTGGGCAGCCGCACGTTGCACACGCTCAGGTGGGTCAGCCGCTCCCGGAGGTGCTCGGTCAGGCCCGGGCCGAGCAGGGCTTCGTCCCACGTCGCGTTCCGCACCGCGATCTCCCGCAGCTCGGGGAACCGGGCCAGGTTGTCCAGGTACTTCTCCTTGTACTGCCGGCCTCCGTCCATGAACACGATGGCGGTGAGCGACGGCAGGAACTTGATGAGGCGCCGCCACTCTTTGCGCCGCAGGTGTCGCACGGCCACCCGGGTCAGCTTCCGGTGGTTCAGGGTGTGCCAGAAGCCGTAGGTGTAGCGGCGGAGCTCGGACAGAACCACGATGTAGTGCTTCCACAGGGACGGGTGTTCCACCAGCTTCCTCAGGTGCCTGGAGGCGGACCGGACCGTGTGCTTCTCCTCGGTGCTCAGGTAGCTGAACACGTAGACCCAGAGCTCCGGGGGGAGCTGCGGAGGACCGTCCATTCTTCACCCGGAGCCTCGCAGCGACAGCGGGGAGCCTTCCAGCCTCTGAGGGCCGCCTTACAAACTCATAACAGGCTGTTCTTCAACCAAGCAGCAGCTTTTTTATTCAAACTCCCAGCCTGATGTTTACAGCTCACACACTAGCTAACAGGCTAACGACTGCCCCTTGATGACGTCAGAGTGAGCTCTTCTTCTACGCTCTAAATCCTGTCAGTTTGAGAGCTGTGAGGCGACATGCTGCCCCCAGCCGGAAGTATTTATTTATTTATTTATTTATTTATTTATTTATTTATTTATTTATTTATTTATTTATTTATTTATTTATTTATTTATTTATTTATTTATTTTTTATTAAAAGGGGGCAGATGTTATGTTTTTCTACTTTCTGCTCATTTTCATTTAATAATACTGTTTGTGTTGAAAAGGTGTGTTTTCCTAGACAGAGCCTTGTGTTTGTGTCTGTAAAAGTAATAAAACTCATGAATGATTTCACATTAAACTGATTTATTAACAGAACTTTGAACAGAACTTTGAACAGAACTTTGAACAGAACTTTGAACAGAACCATCTCAGCTGTTTCAGAAAAACAACTCAAACTATTTAATCAAACAAACAAACCAAGGAAATAATCAGGTTTTACAGTCAGAGGGTTACAACAAAACGTTTCCTAACAGTTTTAATCACAGCCTACAGGAAGGACAGAGAAACGCTCCGGTCCAGATAGTTCTGTTCACAGGGTCAGAACAGAACCAGCACATCCAGAACCGCTGCAGGACGAACCTGGAGTCATTTCTCAGTCTGAGCGCTCCTGCAGCGCAGCAGTCGGCCATGTTTGTCCAAAGACAGGTTCTGCTGTCCGTTGAGTCCCTTCATCCCACAGGAACCGGCGGTCCAGTTCGTCCGTTGATCACGGGGAGAAGGTCAGGATCATCCAGCCAATCACAAAGTAGAAGAGAAACACTGGATACACCACCAGAGCCTTACGATTGGCCGGCTGGCTGTCAGCCAGGAACGCCGTGGACGCAAAGGTGGACCAGCCGAAGGACGCCGTCACCACCAGCAGCCGCACGGCGAAGCCCACCGTCTCCACGGTGGTGAAGAGGACCACCCGGCACACGGCCATGGCCACCGTCAGAGGCATGATGCAGTACCCCAACACACACAGGCTCTGGAAGAACGACAAGGTCCCGCCCAGCAGCTTGGAGTTCAACGTGATGACGATGGAGCCGAACCAGACGATGACGAAGACCTGAGGAGGCAGAGCAGGACACTTAAAACTACACAACACTACACAACTACACAAAACTACACAACATTACACAACTACACAAAACTACAC